AGAATTGTATATAAAATTAATTTAAATACAAAATTGAATTTATGGTAAAACTATAATTCTTAATAAGAAGCACAAATTAAATGTTATTCTTTGTGTATAAGTTAAATGTGTTTAACATTAACAAAACTGATAGATTAACATTTAAATAAATATGACATTTAAATAATCAATACCATTAAATATGGCATTTAAACTTTGTCAATTGTTTAAAACACTTTTGATACAGTTAGCATATAATTAACATTTAACTTACATTTTAACCAATTGTTTTATTTACATTTAGTTGTGTGCATAAAGTGTTGGGTTTGTCACTCGGATGCGGACCCGAAATGTGCGGATCCCTTCGATAACTCGACGCTTCCCATCAAAGATTGCCGAGAAGTGAAATACAGTCATTTGACTTTAGGTTAGTTTACAATAAATATGTATTTGTGATAAATTAGTAATTTTGTATTTAAACAGTCGATCCGTACGAAGAGTTAACGTATGACTACGAGAAGAAGCACTCGGCCGGCACTTATAAGCCTCAAAAGCCCCGACCCGTCCGCTTAATGGAGGCCACAATGTGTCGCAAAATTAGACAAAAAATTCACGGAAATTGGAGAACAATAAGAAATTGTGCTTTTTTGGGCTCTCCCGGTGAGGGCACCGGCAATGAACACAACTGTCTCTACAGACAAGGTATTCGATACGTTTAAAAAGTAATTTAACCATGTTTGAAAATTGATCAACATTGTTGTATTAGGAACTCATGACATATATATGGAGTACTGCACCTGCAATAGTAAGGATGGCTGTAATACTGGCCCACAAGAGATTGCAAAACCACTGATAATCACAGGATTCACAATATTCTCAATTATAATCTCACTATTTTAACAAGTGATACAAATATTGCTCACAATTTATTCACAATATTTTTACACATTTATATATTTGTAATTCACTATAAGTACACCAAATTCTAGATGACATTTTATAATTGATTTTGTTATCAATTAATCTAATGACGAATCGACAAACGATTATATAATTTATAGTTAACAAGAGATATGAATAAACCCAAATCCAGTCGCGGCACTAAAGATTGCCAGTAATGCCCGTTAATTGTGTACAAAACACTCGGATCTCTTTTTTTGTCCAACAAATTATTCAATTTCTGTCCAAAACATCATTTATTTGTTAATTTACATTCAAATGCTGCTAACTTACGATAACATCGTTAGTCGACAAACTATGCATGAATTAAATTGTTGTTTGTATGGAATTTAAAATAAAATTAACATTAAATTACTTATAATAATTATATCCAACTATTATTGTCTTTAATAATCATGAATAACGCAAATTATAAAACAATAGATTTAATTAACTTAAATTTATAATATAATAATTCATAAATTAATAGTAAGCATAGAATAATCAATTATCGCTTAAATTTCTTATTACTTTCTTTAAACTCATTAATAACGCAAATTATAAAACAATAGATTTAATTAACTTAAATTTATAATATAATAATTCATAAATTAATAGTAAGCATAGAATAATCAATTATCGCTTAAATTTCTTATTACTTTCTTTAAACTCATTCAATGGTATTTTAAAGACAACAAACTTTGCGTTAACACCGTTTGCATTCTTCATATTCTCCACATAACAGCCAATGATTTCAACGATTTTTCGCAAATGTCTTAACGGAACCTTCAATTCCTTCTGTATTAACTCAGAATCAATCGGTCTGTAATTGTTTTGCATTAGTATTAAGATAATGGCGTGAATGAGAAGTCGATCCTTTTGCTTATCACTAATGAAATACTTGAATTTGTTTTGACCATAAGGTCGTGTCGTTACGTACTTCTCAAACAACATGTCTTTCACTTCAGAGTTAAGAGTCGGCAAAGGATCACATTTTTTCAAATCAATTGCCTTAAGGTTAAGTAAACTAATGATTAGATTTAAATAAATTGCAATTAATTTCATTTCGGAATCGAGAGATGAATTTGGATTCAAATTTTTAAAAAATTGATTATCGATGGCATCGAAAAGCTCTGTTTCTAATAGTTTTAAAAGCTGTCTCTCGTTTGCAAGGATTATATCATTCAAATCATACACTTCTTCCACACAAATGGCTGATCTGTTTTGTTTGGGAAGAATATCAATGCTATCGCTGACAGTCATCGCAAGAGACGATTCATTGGCGCTCTTGTCGGCCACTGATTTGGTCTGAGACTCAATGTGTTGGATGTCCTCTTCGCCCAATTGGATGGCATACTTCCGTTTACTGGCCAGAGATCGTTGTGTCCGTCGGGAACCAAACTTCTCCTTCATTTCGTCCATTTGCTCTTTAAATGTGAGCGGCGTTTGTGTCACGTCTTCACTGATCAGTCTTTCCNATGTGTTGGATGTCCTCTTCGCCCAATTGGATGGCATACTTCCGTTTACTGGCCAGAGATCGTTGTGTCCGTCGGGAACCAAACTTCTCCTTCATTTCGTCCATTTGCTCTTTAAATGTGAGCGGCGTTTGTGTCACGTCTTCACTGATCAGTCTTTCCTCAACAATGGGTTGCATTTTAAACATCGATAAACTGTGGACTTCGAGGACACCGTCGCGACAAACGCCTAAATAATACTCTGAAGACTTGTTGGCCGAGTCTTCGCCGATGAACTTCATGTGTGAAGTGGTGTCCGAAGCGATGAGTTTCGTGTGTTTAGTCGCGGCGTCTGTTTGTATGGTGTAATCGGCATTCATTGGCACAGCTGTGGACGCAAACATAGCCATCACTTGTGGTGAGTCTTCGGGCATAATCTTGATCTTCAATCGTTGAGCCATTGTCTGAGAGATTGTGTCAAATATAGTGTCCCTAAAGACTCCCCAAAAAGTTACGAAATAATGTTTACTCGAGTGAAGCACATGTTGTGTCGGCACTGCTGTCAACGCATGCGCTCTCACTCTCACAACACATTGAATGTAATGTTGGAAATGCAGTCCAAATGCATTCAAACCTGCGTTTAATCTACTGATTGTCACAACACTTGATCCCCGATTACACGACAACACCCTTTCGGCGACATCTTTGCGAACCAATTGGTGGTAGAGTTGAGTTGATGGTGAAAATGTTGGTCCAATCGACGGCTACCATAAGCGAAGTGCTGAAGAATTTGTCGGTTTATATCCAAAGCTCATCACTAAATGACAGGAAAACTATTTTCAATCATTTGATTCAATTGATTGATACCAAAGACATCGAAGGTTTGCCTCTTATCTCATGTTTTATTGACATTAATTGTTTTGATGTCTGAATAGAGACAACAATTCGCGGACTCTTTAAAGTAATAATAATAACGTTTATGAGATATAATGACACGAAATCCGTTTCATTAGTCATACATTTTGTGAAACATTTGCTGAAGAAATATCCGGCGATCGGTTCCAAGCATTTGGTGCAATGTTTGCATAGCTTTAGTCTTCAGTTAAAGCAATTAAATTCAACCAAATCTATAGCCAGAGTGTGTTTAACAGCGTTTAAACTAAGCGTTTGTTTGGATTGGAATCAATGCAACGATTATGAGATTCAACACAAACTCATTGAAAGTCAGGCCATTCTCTCTGTCCTTATCATTGCGACCGACTCTTCAAACATCAGAGACAAGGCTTACAACAAACTGAAGACATTCTGGAAGTGCATACCTATTGATGAATATGCGGCCGCTTTAGGCAAACTGTCGGCCAATGTTGAGCCCAGTCTTGCACTTCAATTGACAATCATTTGGGATTTTGTAATCAAATACTTATCAGAATTGAAATCATTTGAAACGATCACTAAATATAAACCAATATTTAGAGATTTATTTCTTAAACACATCATTGGCTGCAAAACCAAACACTCAAATGACATCATATCTGTTGGCTTTAAATATCAATTGAAACAAATAACTCACGAAGACTTTGCGCAACTCTTTCTGCCATCAATTCAAAAAGCAGTTTTGCGTAATTCAGAAGTAGTTCTCAATCTAATTGGTGTTATATTCAAGGGATTATCACTTGACTTGAGTCCATATGCTTCAGAAATCGGGAAACTGTTGGCCTCTCAGTTGCATTCAAAGGATGATATGCTTCGCTCTGAAGCCATTGATGCGACAAAACATTTGGCTCAACAGTGCTCTAACTCGTCGGCCATCGAAGGTCTTCTCAAACACTATTTTGCTGTTCTTAATGGCAGTGAAGGAAAGCTAACGATTGCTGTCCAGCGTTTGGGTGTCGTCTCTGGAATTGGAGCTCTGAGTCATCACTCGGTTAGCGGTGAAGCCCAACACTTGAGTGCTGTGGCGTTGGAGTCGTTTGTCACTGTTTTGAAGCAAGAGGTTCACGAGCCAACTATTCTTCATATGACAGCACAGCTCCAGTTGTGGTGCAATCGATTGGTTACAGAAATACCAAAATCATTCATTGAGTGGTTTAAAGCGCTGCAAACATTGAAAACATCCACGGCTTACGTAAAAAGCGCTTACATTTCATGTCTGAACGCAGGGTTTAAGGAAAATATGTCCGAACAGGCGAGTGATGTCTTAACTATTCTGACGACTTCAGCCCAAAAGTCATTCACTGCAACCGTTTCCCAAATGCCAAACCTTACTGAAGGTCTAAACGCTTTATGTCTGTCACTAAAGCTGATCGCATCCGATAAACAGTTTGAAACGAAATACAAATCGTTATTCAATCAGTTGTTTGAAACCCAAAAGTTGGCTTTTCTTTCGGACAAATTTATTAGTTCCGCGTCAGAGGAATCGTTGCAAACATTAACCCATTTTATCGATTGTCTTGTTTTTAATTACGAAACAAAACTCGTGTCGAAAATGAAACCAATAAACACTTCACTTCTTCTTTTGATGACACATCCAATCTCTTATGCGGTCCGCAAACAGGCCTTTATTACTACAAAGAAATTGGCCTCTAATTCAATCAACGATAAGTTTGCCATCGATTTAATTAAGGAGTTTTACCTACTCTTTAAAGACATGAAAGACAATCAAAATGATAGCAATTCATTAAATAGTGATGAAACTCAAGCGAACACAGAAGTGACAAAACAACCGTCGGTTTCAGCACTCATTGAATGTCACAATTCGTTGCTTTCGTATTGCAATGACGAACAGAATTTGAAATGTTTACTTCTGGTCGCCTTATCTTCGGCTCATATAAACCCCATTTTCAACACTAATCCCAACCTTTGGTATAACTTATTGCACAAAAGAATTGATTACAAACTTTTGGACCAATTTATTAAAGACAACAAAGACATGATTGTACAGACAGTTCTCCGAGAGATCGATGATATTTGCGTGAAGAGAAATGCTGTCAAAGCACTCGTATGTCTCGCACCGCATGACTTCATACCAATATTCTTGACTAAAGCTGTGAATACATTATCAAAACCAGACTTTAAAATAATTACTCAAATGGATTATGAAATATATTTAACTAAAGACAATGAATTATACGATCAATCGATTTTGGATGCAATTCCCGCTGAAATGCAAAACAAGAATATCAAAAGAGAATCGAAAGTGTATTCATATAAAGAACAGATGGAAGAGATTGAGCTGAAGAAGGAATTGGAGGCCAAAAAGAAAACACAGACCGACTCTAAGGGACCGCAAATGTCTAAAAAGCAATTGGAAGCCAAACAACAACAGCTCGAAAAAGAGGCACAAATTCGATCAAAATTAACCACAATTTACAGCGAGTTTTGTGTTGCAATTGATTTGATTGAGTCGATTGCCATCAGTAACGCAAACGCCATTTCTAATTATATTAATGACGTTTTGTTTGCGTTAATTAATCTCTTTTCGTCACCACTTTGTTCACAAAAGGCCACTAAACTGTTCGTTGATTTGCGTAAAACACTATTCAATCAAAGAGACTCGGATTTGAAACGCTTCGGCGACTCTTTGGCTTATTTGACTCTCAGACAACTCAAGCCTTTTTGCCCGATCGACGAGCACTGGACTACCGGTGATCTGAATGAACGCGTCGATAAACTGATGACTCAATTACACAAACGGACGTGTCGTCCGACGGGACGAGATTATGACGAAAAGACGGCACAATTGGCTATAAAGTTGCGTTTGACTGCACCGGCCTTTGCCTATACCTTCCCATTAATCCAATCTCTGCTAATGAATAGCCAGACACCAGACGACCTACTGTTGAAATGTTTGCAAATAGTGTCAGAGCACTCGCACATGAGATTCAATATGAGCTATGGTTTGGATGACATCGAAGACGACACCATTGGACTCAAAGATCCCAAATATTTGCCCCTCAAGTATATGTTTGATACGATTATTAAAGTGATTGCGAAGAGTCCCATACATATTGAGCAGAACGCGTCCAAAGTGTTGTTAGATATGGCCTTATCTGCCAATGGAGACAAGGGATGTGCCAGAGCTTCGTTCCAAGAGGTGAACACACTTTTAGAGGCCCTCAAGAATAGTGTGGAAACTGTTCGCAGTTCAGCCCTCAATGCCCTTCAAATTCTGTCGCATAATGTTTTGGTTAACATGAATGACGAAAAAGCGAAATTTGTTTTGACACACAGAATATTTGTCACTCAATTTGATCCAAACGAAGAATGCGCGACAAGTGGTCAACAATTGTTCAGCGATTGTAGGCTCCGGACAAGCGTTTCCCTTTGCAATGCCTTATTTGACGACATAATAAACGGCAATTCAATACTAAGACATTCAGTTTCAGGCGCTATGGAAGCGCTTTTGTCTGAATATCCCGAACAGACGCCGAAAGTTGTGAAGCAGTTAATTGATATTTACAGAGAAAGAGCTAAAGTATTGCCTCCTGTTATCGATAACTTTGGCCGCGCGATAGCCAACAGTCAAGTGGACATCTATGAGCCCCGTTTAGGCGTTGCTCTGGTATTGACACAAATTGCGCCATTGATTCCCAATGAGATAATCGAAGAAATCGCTCACTTCTTTGTTCCGGAAGCGCTCGGAGATCGTAATGAGAGCGTCCAAAGCCAGATGTTGGAGGCGGGCTGTGCTCTCGTCAATCTTCACGGCAAAGAAAGTATCAATTTATTGCTCAATGTATTCGAGAAGTTCTTAGACGACGCGCCCGACACTTCGGACAACGACGCCGTCAGACGCAGTGTTGTTGTTCTGATGGGAACTCTCGCCAGACATATAGACAAAGATAATCCCAAAGTGAAGCCAATTGTAGCCAAACTGATCGAAGCGCTGTCCACACCGTCACAGATGGTTCAGGAAGCAGTGGCCAACTGTTTGCCACATTTGATCCCAGCCTTCAAAGAGGAAGCGCCGTCTTTACTGCAAAAGTTG